GTATTGTCTCTCCAACACATGTCAGGGTGGTTGAAGTCCCCCATGAGGACCAGGGCTTGTGACCGCGAGGCTGCTCCTATCTGGCTATAAAGCGCCTCATCTGCTCTGTCCTTCTGGCCAGGTGGCCTGTAACAGACTCCTACCGTAACATCCCCTATCCGTCCCCGTCCTCTAATCTTGACCCATAAGCTCTCTGTCAGCTCCTCCTCCGACCCCAGGCGAAGCTCCACGCACTCCAGCAGAGCGACACCCCCTCCTCGTCTCCCCTTCCTGTCCTTTCTAAAAAGCTTATACCCCTCCATGTTGACACTCCAGTCATAGGAGTCGTCCCACCACGTCTCCGTGATGCCAATAAGGTCGTAGCCCTGCTCATGTGCACGCATCTCCAGCTCATCCTGTTTATTTCCCATGCTGCGTGCGTTGGTGTACATACACTTCAGCTGAGCCCCCGACAAAGCCGACTCTCTGGCTGGAGCGACAGGGGTTCTCTTGGACGGCAGTGTAAGTTCATTTGAACATACCTGCGATCCTTCCTCAGCCTCTGGACCCTCGGTGCTGGCACTGGCGCCATGCTGACAGCAGTGGGCTGAACTGTGCTCCCCCTCCCCCAGCAATACTAGTTTAAAGCTCTTTGGACAAGTCTGGCAAGCCTTTGTCCAAGCGCCTTCTTCCCCTTCTCGGTTAGGTGCACGCCATCTGCCCTAGCAACCCAGGCTTCTCAAAAATCACCCCGTGGTCAAAATACCCAAAGCCCTGGCTGTAGCACCAGTCCCTGAGCCGTGATCTCATGTTAGACCTTTTTTCAGCAGGGGTTCCAGAAGTTCCTTTTATCTGGTGCTATTCTTTGATAACAGAAGGCTTAGTTAAAACTATATAATTGACTGGTATTGGTGATTATTTTAAAACATACTAGTGAAAGAAGATAAATATTCTTGGCTTTAGTGATTTATGTGATAAAATCTCCATCACAAGGTTTCTGATGTGATAGAGATGACATAGTGCTATAAGCTCACTGTGATTAAATGGTCTCATTTCTTTTCTAACTTTCTAAGTTTATAAAAGCACACTTAAGCCATGCCAGACCTCTTCAGGGACCTTATCTGCCGAGCTTTTAGACAAAGCTTATCTTAGAGCAGGAACCTTAATTCCCATCCTTCTGGATTAGCTTCTGCATGTTTCATATTTGTCAGCCTATCTGGATTTAGTTCAGATGTATCTCTCTTCTGTGCCCTGAGACAGTGATAGGATTGGCCAATTATCTATAATTCACAATGTGAACTCCTGATTATTTTAATTAAAAAATTGGTGGGAAAAATATATTCTGAAACAGAAAGCAATTTGCTTGCAAGTTCAGCTTACAAACATGGTTCATGGTCACATTTACAATACTAAAATTTATTGCTTTATTTATCCAGTTTATTATTATTAGATCCAGAAGTGCCGTTTGTACAGTTTTCTGTTTTTTACTGTTTTGGTCGAGCATCCTAAACAGATTGCTATTTGCAGTTCACTTCCTACTGCGGATATGTTGGGAAGATTATATTCGGTTCAATCACAATAGTCTTTTTCATATAATTTCATATAAATTTCTTAGGTCTTTTTTTTTGTAGTGGTAGTAACGGACAGGTTTTAACTTTTTATTTGTTATTACTACTTGAAGTTTACATACAATCACGGAACTTTAAGACTTTGAGATCAAGAGCCAGACGTCTGCAGTCAACATCTGAACAATTCACAGAAACAAAAAGTTCACTTTCTTCACTTTTGAAGGTAAATACGAGTAACATTGTGAAGTTGTTTTGGGCTTATTCACACAGTTTCTTTCTCTTGAATCAACCTTCGTAATTTACCAAGGGTGTTCTGTTTCTCTAGTGTGAAAAAATTTCTTAGTTCTAAAACTCGAGCTACTGACAACACACTGTTTTTCTTACTAATAAACAGATTTTCTTCATATATCATCAATATAAAGATTATTTGAATTTTTTAGGAGAGTAATTTCAGAGTATAAAAATGGTTTTAAACTGTAGAAATAAAACTCTTTGTGTTCTGTTTTTGTGGCTTTGTTAAAAATAGCTTGGAGTCAAATGAAGTATTCATTTAAACAGAAATACAGCTATTTTAACATACAAGAATGTATATTTTTTCAAGCAGTTCATCATGTGATTAATGTTTTAAGAATAGATTTACTTATGGCTAGTATATTTTTAAGATACAAAAATTTTAAACTTCATATTTTTGTAGGTTACAGACTCATTTATATATTGTTAATTCACCAGATAACTATCCAAGCTTGGGATAGCAAAGCACTTAACAAAGCCCAGTTAATCTAGGTACTCTTTACGTCTAATTGGTTGTGCAAAAGTCAGGCTAATTAAAGTATTTGATCTTACTGTGTGTGTAAATTAGCTTTGAACTCTCTCCTTCTTCTAGGCATATGTAGTTTATTTCATCTGTGGATTAGATATACCATGGATGAAGATATACCTGAGCTAGCTCCACACAGTGCTGCTCTTAAATTTGGTAGGGCATATGAGATGTATTTGATCAAGCTCTATGAAAACTATACTTACAAAGATATTTCACGTTTGGAAATAATTTAAGTTGATTTCATGAAGCAAAAAGCTTAAGTTAATACCTCCCACTGAATCCAGTGTACAAGGCTAGCTGTGTACAAATCTGCCTTAGGCTACATTTTCTATTTGGAACTGGGGTCCAGAAGGGCTCTGAACCTGACATGTTCAGTGAAAAATCAGAGTGCCCTTGCTGGAACCATTGCAATTCCACACTCAAGCAGTTGCCCTGTGTCGTCTAACTAACCCCATAGCACCTGAATTGTGTGCTTTTTAAATTTTTTTTTTCCTCTCACCCATGCTAGCCAGGTAGTAAATTAACTGTGTATCAAAACTTAGTGTATACTAACACTGCTGCGGAAAATATTCTAGGGCTTTATCCTGAGAAAGCGAAGAATTGATGTTGAAAACTTAGATACACTAATGAAAACAAAAAACATCCCAGAGGCACACCAGGATGCTTTTAAAACTGGTTTTGCAGAAGGCTTTTTGAAAGCACAGGTGTTCCTGCAGAAAACGCTTGGTAAGTTGTTTTAGTTCATGTATCTTCTCTTTTCATTCAGAAAGTCATTTATTTCAGTCTCTATTAAACCTTCTTTTTGTTTTCTTTTACAGATTCCTTAAGAAGATCACGTTTGCTCTCTTTCTTTCTCTTTGTTCTTTGTTTTTACTTTGCTTTATACTCGTCATTTTTACCTGGGAAAGGTTCCTTTTCTGATGCTGGTTAGTTAAATTTTTTCCCCATACTGGTTCACTTGTGTTGTTTCTTTCATCAGGTTTAGCACAAATTAAATGTGTTTTGACATAATGATCGTTTTAGGATGACATTTCAATGTACTAATGAAAGAGAGAGTTATGTACTGCTTTTGGCTACAGCCTTTTAGACAGTAGTGTGACAAAATGTTTATAGAGGTAAAAAAGTTGTCTGTTAGTGTACTTACTTTGACTCTTTTGGTGAAACAATTGGAACTAAGCAGAGAAGTCATCAGACTGTTCATCAGTTACGTATTTGTCTTTGAATTTAGATGATGCGTTATCCAGGTCAGTAGTAGGCAAAATGGTTTGATTTTCATTTGTCATCACAGCCTAGTTTATAGTGACTAGGTCTTGCATGGCCAGACTGTCATCTTGAGAAATCTGTTGGAAATAGCAGATCGATCAAAGGCTGAGCTAATACAAATGGAGAATTTAAACTTCGTGTTATGACCTGAGTCTCAGATACGTGCAGAAACGCTGAGGGAGAACTGGCTTTATGTATGTGCTTTTGGATGCAGGGCTTTTTGTACCTACAGATGACTAAAAAGCACTTGTATCACTGAATTGCAAATATTTTAAAGATTTTTTTTTTTTGTTAAATAAATCTTACTCTTGCTGGCCGCTTGTAAATGGAAACATACCTTTTTAAAAGGGCAAGTGTAAAGTTAACGGTTTAATGGTATGCATGCAAGTGCACTGTAGTCTTGGAATGAAATTACTTCATGTGTAAATTTGTTGTTCATCGTCTGCTGTTTGCTATTAGTACGCTTTCGAACGTCGAGTATCTTTGATGCAGCAGTTGATCCAATCCAGCTGAAAAATGTCACCTTCGAACATGTAAAAGGGGTAAGTTCAAAAATAAAGCGTGTGTGAGTTCTTGCTTAACTAATCATTGTGAACCTGAAGAATGTCTTACTCTGTTCAAGAAATTTATTTGTATGAACTGAAGCCTTTTATGTATTGACCACTCCAAGATCAAGGAGGGTTTTAACGACTCTTGTTCTACGTTGTATCTTTGTGGCATTTAATACCTTATAAAAGGTGCAATCTTGACTTGTTGCATCACGTTTTTAAAGTCTAGAATAGCAAAAGGCAGGCCACAAGTATCCATGTTAATCTATTTTTTGCAGAAGTTGACCAATACAAGAAGATGGTAATGCTATTTGATCATTTCTGTCTTACTACCATCTCTTTCAGATGTCTGACGTTAGGACAGGAGATAGGGAGATTCCCAGAAAGAAGTGGGCATGTCACTGCTGATGGGATGGCTTTATTTTTTCTGTTCAACTGTTCTTTGGCTGTCAGTGACAAAATGAGGACCTCCACATCTCCTTCCCTTTGGACAAATAGAACTAATCTCTTTTTAACTAATTAGACTAATATCTTGATGTGGAATTTTTGATTCTCGATTTATCTTGTTGGTCAGATCTGATCTTGTGCTGCTTTTATTCCTTCAGTATTATTAATTTCAGTGTTTACTTATTCTTGTGAACAGTTCTAGGAAGTAGGTTGAATTAAACTCATGGACACTTGGTATCCACACAAATTCTGTGGTACACTTTTACCTCGGCTTCTGTATTTTGATCAATACACAATTAGAGACTTAGTCGCTAATACAGAACTCATCTACGAAAAAAGGTGCAATATTTTATAAATGCTTAGTTATATTTTGTGGTATATTTTTAATGCATAGGTTGAAGAAGCTAAACAGGAATTGCAAGAAGTTGTGGAATTCCTGAAAAACCCACATAAATTTACTGTACTAGGAGGTAAACTTCCAAAAGGTAAGAATCATTGTTCAGCAGAAGTGAAAATCATATGTAGCTGTGGCTATGTTTGTAGCTTTGTTCTATACTGAGTGGCTAATCTACAGCCTGGCTTCTGAATATTTTTTCCTTTAGTTAGGGAATAAAAAAAAGTATATAGCCAAAAGGTAGTGGATTTCCTTGCTTGTTTAAAATAGTTGAGGAACAGTGAATCCTCAAAGAGAGTTGTGAAAGCTTCTTTATCAAAGGATGTCCTTACATGATGTACTTGGGCTGGGGGAGTGGAGATTAAGGTAGTATATTGCATACTTCCTATCTCACTTTCAGTTCCCCGTGTGTAAAAATTGGTCATTATTGCCTACCCCCACAGAAAATGTGAGGTCCTCGAGATGCTCAGATAGAAGAAGCAAAGATGCCTGGATACATCTTCCATTTGCTAGAAATTCAGTAATAACACTAGGGATAAATAAGCTATGACAGTGCCAAGAGTGGACTGAAGATTCCAGGAAAAAAGTCTTTCAGAGATCAAACCTGTGTTTGTAATTGTTAGCAGCCTCATTTACATGGCTAAGAACCGATATTTCTTTGAAGTCCCAAGTAAACCTTTTAGAGATGGTGTAGTGAACTACAAAAACTCTTTTACGTTGTCACTGAATGTAACATAATATTAAAAAAATATTTACTGATAAAATGATGTATAATTGGTGTTTACGCCTTTTTGAGTAGAACTTTATGTAGCTCATATCTTTTTAGGTCTGTCTGGTTTTTGGGTTTTTTGTCCCCTCCTTTAACTGTCTGTATAAGGATATCTTTTTTTTAAAGTTAATAGCTTCCTGTCACCAGATTTTTTAATTTTGTTTTACTTTTTCTCATCTGAAAAAGATACGTAACATACGTTTAGTCTTGAAAACTTTCCCAAGATAAGGCAAAAATGTCCAAAAAAGAACCTGTATTATGCAAATGAATGTGTAGGGGTTAGACAAAACTTACTGTGCCTTCTTTAATTATTTAACTAATATACAGTAGTTCTTTCTCTTGAAATGCAGAAGGGTTTATGTAACGACTCCCAAAAGGCCTTTCAGCACCTTTAGTGCTTGCCTAACTGCTTTAGACAGTTGAGAAACAAATGTTTTCATTTAAAAGGATGATTAAGCTTGATCATAGTAGAAAGCCAAGTGAACCTGAAATATGGAAGCCTTGTTAAGTCTGTTTCCTGTTAGTGCTCTACACTGTTTAAAGACAATTACTGGGAATGATTTAATTTAAAAAAAAATAAAGTTCCAATTTCAGAAATGGCTAGGAAAGTGTCAGTTTGAAGAAGACACTGTTAGGGATCAGCTGCTAAACTCGTTTCTATTTGATAGAAAGTCTTTGTTGTTGTTAAAATATGGATCAGAGTGTATCTAGATCTGTTACAGGAAGCTTCTTCAGGCTGCAAGTAATGAGCAGTATCTGAAATGGGATGTTAACAGCTTTTTAAAGCCAAGTGTAAATTATTTATTCTAATGCATGGAAGAAACAGTACTTATGTAATAAGACTGGGTGGGTTTGGTGGTTTTTGTTTGTCTTTTTAGGTATTCTGTTAGTTGGACCACCTGGTACTGGTAAAACTCTTCTTGCACGGGCTGTAGCTGGTGAAGCTGATGTTCCGTTTTATTATGCATCTGGATCAGAGTTTGATGAGATGTTTGTTGGGGTAGGAGCTAGTCGCATCCGAAGCCTATTCAGTAAGTTAAATATTTGTGGTTTTGAAATCTTTTCGCATGAGAGATTAAGTATTCAGTGTTGTTTACAAGGTTTGTTTGGGTACAGTTCTGATTACTGAAAAGTAATCATGTATGAATCTAACAAATAAAACCCAATTGCGTAGGTAAATCGTGGAATTCTGTGAGCATCAGTTAACTGTAGAATCTTGCTAGTTGTTAGATGAAATTATTGCAAAAATTGTAACTGATGTTACAGCACTCCCAGAGAGAACACAAGTAATTTAATTAGGAATGTAATGTCCTATAAAATAAATTGAATGTTGTAAATTGTAATTTACTTACTGTCATATGTAAATTATTGCAGATTTGAATTAAATTGTAAATTTAAGATGAAAAATAATGTTAACCGTCTCAATTACTTCCCTTGTATTTAATATTCTTTTTTAATCTGAATTAGAGCTTTACAGTATCACACTGTAGCACTAAGTTGAGTTTTCCTTTCTGACACCCATCAACAGGCCCAGAATATAGGGCATTAGAATCAAACTTCTAAAATTGTTTAGATTGATAACTTTCACAGTAGAGGCTTTCTGTTTTAAGTATGCAAATAAATATTTTCAGGGGAGAGGGGAATCCAACTTCTCTCTTAAATGCAAGATTGATAGTGTCAGGCATGTACAATGTAGAAAGTAGTTTGCATTTGTAGAAGAAATGTGACTTGTTTCACATGGAAGAGATGCAAAATGCAACATGTACCTTAAAATGTGCATTTCTTTGTTGACTGAGAAGTTCAGATGACTGACTTGTACATTGATATCAATGTTACAGGTATGTCTAGCTGGGTGAGATGAGTTGTATCCTGGTATGCATGTACCACTTAATGCAATCAGAAACTTTAAGACCATCTTTATTTTGTGCTTTTAATACCCGTAAACTTGAGAGTGAGGTCTTCACTGTTAAATAACAAGCAGGTTCTATTAAAATAAGTTAGCGTTTAGACCCATCACATTTCATTTTATTTTTATTTAATAGGTCAATGTTCTCTACCCACGCCTATGAAATAAACCGTTGTAGGGAGTTGATGCAAAATACAACTAATTTCTTAATCTATTTTACTCATGATTTCTTGTAGCATGATGAGATCAAGCTGATGTGGAGATGAAGAACGTTGCTTCATTTCAAAAATGTATTTCTTTTTATTTTAGGCTAAAATCAAGACAGTTCTGGTGATGTCTAACAGAACAATTTATAATTCAAGAGTAATAGAAATAGTAGAATCCTAAATTACATGATACACTGTCCATTCCTTTGTGTGGCTGAAGTGTCCTTCTGCTATTTTCTTTTGTCAGGGGAAGCAAAAGCAAATGCACCGTGCGTTATATTTATTGATGAGTTGGACTCTGTTGGTGGGAAGAGAATTGAATCTCCGATGCATCCTTATTCAAGACAGACCATTAACCAACTTCTTGCTGAAATGGATGGGTAAATATATGGATTCTGAGAGCACAGAAGGTGCTTGACGGACTGGTATTTTGAATATTTGGGTGAATTTTTCTTCCTTGACAGCTTTGATGTTTTTTGTAATGCTTGTAAGGATATAAATTTAAGATGCTGTCATGACCGCTTTCTGTTACTGCCAACAATAGCAATAATGGCCTCAGTGTAAAGAATATAGAAGCTTCTGAGTTGTAATAGCACAATAGCTGCAATTATTTTAAATAATTTATCAATTTTTTTAGGCTGACTGTATATCTAAAGGAAGAAGTTCAACTCTGAGATCAGGGCATGTTTTTAACCTGTTGCTGGATTGAACATGGTCATTCTTGGATCATATATTGTGGTTTGATAGCGTGTTTTTGACTGGCTGGTTGAGGTCATCTGAAGTAAGAATAGAAGTGGTTATTGACAAAAAAAAGGTGTAGATTCTGTCTCAAAAAAAAAAATTCTCACCCTTTTTTTTCATACAGCTTTAAACCTAATGAAGGCGTTGTTATTATCGGCGCAACAAACTTTCCTGAAGCATTAGATAAGTGAGTATAATGTATTGATCATTTTTGCAGAGCATGTATTAAAAAACAAAGAAACAAACAAAAAAACCCACCACAACAACATGCAAGTTGCTTGTGATAATCTTCAAGTATTACAGTGTTACAGCTGGGGTTTCTCCCCCGCCTTCAAAAGGATGTGTATTGGCCAGTTTTTGGCATTCAAAAGGTGGTTGAGTTAAATATGGACAAATAAGGAACATGCTTCTAAGCATCTAAAATTTCTGGAAGTTTTTCTACTTAAATTGACCAGCTGCATTCCTTGTTCACAATGCAAAATTTTCAAATGCAAAAAAAACCTTCAAAATGGATTGGTAATAAACGTCTTCCATCTGTGTCTTTACAAACAGATAAGAAAAATGTATGCTTTGCATCTGTGCGCCAGACCTAGTCTGTGTAGATGTCTTTAGAAATATCAGATAGGTTTTTGTTCCTTATATATGCTAGTAACAGTTTACTGCAGCATTTTTAAGTCAATGTGTTAAATTTCTTTTCCCTTAGTGCTTTAATACGCCCTGGTCGCTTTGATATGCAAGTTACTGTTCCTAAGCCTGATGTAAGAGGTCGTACAGAAATTCTGAAGTGGTACCTTAATAAAATAAAGTATGATCCATGTAAGTAAATACTTTACCATAGTATCTTTTTATGTAACAGTTTTTATACTGGATCAGCCCACTCATGTTTTCGTCCTTTATTCCATCAACAATTGTGGCTTTACTTCGTGTCTCAGTAAAGAACACAAAAATTGCCTAATTTGTAGTGTTACGACAGTTTTCTGAGGCAGTGTTTCTTTCTAGTCTCCAACAGTTCATAGTGTCTTAAGAATTAGGCTTCATTTCTTCTAAAGCTGAACACTTTTTGCTGAACACGTTATTTTTAGTAGAACATGATTCTTGCTTATAATTTGATCATTTCTTGGTATTTCTTCATGATACAGCTTTGTTAGGAGAAATGTGGACTCTAATGACAAGTTTATTTGTTTTTCTCTACAGCTGTTGATCCAGAAATAATTGCACGAGGCACAGTAGGATTTTCTGGAGCAGAACTTGAGAATCTTGTAAATCAAGCTGCCTTAAAGGCAGCTGTTGATGGGAAAGATATGGTGACCATGAAGGAACTAGAATTCTCCAAGGACAAAATTCTAATGGGTAGGATTTTATACAAAAGACATACATATATGTTACAGTACACAGGGGTTTTCATGTGTGATTAAGACTTTTACAAATAAAGAGAGAAGTTTTTATCGTGTTGGTTTTGTTGTTTTGTTTTGGTTTTTTTTAAACACGTAAGTCTCCCATTAGTTAGTTCTGAATAGAACCTTTTGAGACCAGAGAGTAGTATGTAAAATCTAGTATGGAATACATTCTTAAAGACTTGATACTTTTTTTTAATGAAAAATGCTGTGTGTTGTACTTCAGCCTAGAGGAAGACACAGGCTTGATTTCTTACCCTTCCCCTACATATTCGTAAAGGAAAGGAGAGAAGAAATGACCAGAAACCTGGAACTTCTGTTTAAATAACTTGTCATGTGATAACAGAAAACTTAAACATCAGAGTCATATACACTAAAAATCTGATCTGTTCATACTTGAGAGAAGAAATGGAATTTTCTCATATACTCAGACTGCATTTTAAATCTATTCCTTTAAAAGCAACTTCTCTGTAGAGTATATTGAGGTCCATTTTAGACATTAAAATCCTACTTGTAAACATTTTGCACTTAATGAGTATTAGTTAGTTTTGCTTGCATGCTGTTCCTCGGCTACTCTGTGCTCTGAGTATGTGTTACGTATGGATTGTGGTGGTCAGCTGTACAAAAAAGTTTATTTAACGTTCCTCTGTTTAAGGACCTGAACGTAGAAGTGTAGAAATTGATGAGAAAAACAAAACCATCACCGCTTACCATGAATCTGGACATGCTATCATTGCATATTATACTAAGGATGCAATGCCAATCAACAAGGCTACAATCATGACACGAGGAACAACACTTGGACATGTGAGTATATGCAGAATTTTATGTTGGTTTAGTGCTGTTGAGCAATTTGCCAGCAATGCTATTCGTTGTAATTACGTTAATGCGTATTGTAGTATGTTGAAATACTCAGTTATGTGCAGTATTTTGGAAAACTCACTGTGTGATAGAAAGCTTTCTTCCTTCATTTTGAAATAAAACGGCATACGCTAGTATAATATTTCACATATACAAGGAAAGAAATGTAAATGTGTTTGATTCTGCTGCAGTTAAAATAGCACCCAACAGTGAAACTCTGAAGAATGTCTAAAAGACTGGGAAGTAGGAGCATTCCTCACCTGTACTTTTAACCCAAACTTCGAGTTGTTCTTTGTCCAGCGTGACTTTCTAAACCTGATCGGTTACCTGCCTTGTTTCGAGCATAGGTATCCCGTAGTTTATCCAAGTTAATGTGTTTAGTTAAAGGAAATAATTGGCCTGAATCTTCCAGGCAAGTTGATTGGTGCTCAGCAGAAGTGCAGAGAATAAGGAGAAATGGATAGAACAGATTGTTCTGTTTCTTCTGCTGGTGGGTTTAAGTTGCGTAGTAGTATGTGGTGCTCATGGTGTGTCAGAGGCTATTTCAGCTGGCAGACTGAGCACCTCCAAGCAAACCTGATGAGTGTGCAGACTAGGAGGATGCCTAGAGCGTTCAAATTGTTGCATAAAAGCTTTCATATCTGCTTTGGATATAAACAAGAATATTTTTCAGATTATTTCAGTATCTCTTTGTTTATTGTTACCTGACCACGGTTCTGTATCTTCCAGGTATCTTTGCTCCCAGAAAATGACAGATGGAGTGAAACTAGGTCCCAGTTGCTTGCGCAGATGGATGTCTGTATGGGAGGAAGGGTAGCAGAAGAGCTCATATTTGGAAGTGATCACATCACAACAGGTCAGCTGATCGGTAGTTAAAAGAATTTTTGATTAAAGCTTGTGGACTGGCATGTTTAACTTGATTTCAATAACTGATATAATCTTTTTGCTATCTAGGTGCTTCCAGTGATTTTGACAATGCTACTAAAATTGCAAAACTGATGGTGACTCGATTTGGAATGAGCGAGAAGGTAGTATCATCTATGGTTACATATTTATGTGGTACAAAGAAATGTTCTGTTATGTAACTGAATGCCTCTTTGGCTCTCAGTGAGCACAGAGACTAAGTAGTTCTGGCAAAAAAAGTAAGTAAGCCTTATGACTGGCCCTGCCACAGAGAACTCAGCTAGACAACCTATATCTTTGACAGTTTAAAAATTAACTTGCAAGATCTTAACCTCAAAATTACCTTGAAAGTTACTAATGTCTGCAGAAAATGTTTATAATAAAACCAAATGTTTTGAAATTGAGGATAGTCTTGGGTTTGGGGGACGGGGCAACACAACAACATTGAGTTTTCTAGACTTCTAAAGAAACTTCTTTAGTCATCTTTATTTTACCCATCAAGTGTTAGTAGTCTAGGAGTTTTGTTTTCTTTTTTAAATAAGAAAACGCTTAAGCAGGATCTGCACTGTGACCTATTGAAATAGAACTCTGCAGTGACTATATAGTTGATGAACAGGTTGCCCAGAGAAGTTGTAGATGCCTTATCCCTGGAAGTGTTCAAGGCCAGGTTGGATGAGGCGTTGAGCAACCTAGTGTAGTGGAGGGTGTCCCTGCCCATGGCAGGGGGGTTGGAACTAGATGATCTTTGAGGTCCCTTCCAACCCAAACCATTCTGTGATTCTATGATGAATAGGCTTCTTGTTTTGCTTCTGTTGCAAGCACTTCAGCAAGTATTTGATTAATGATTTTATATGTTTGCATGTAGGAGCAATAGGTGATGACGCTCTTACAGTGTTTTATGTGTACTACTACAACAGTGGCAAGATAAAAGACACTTTTTTTGTTGTTGTTTAGCTTGGTGTTATGACCTATGCTGATACGGGGAAAGTTAGCCCTGAAACTCAGTCTGCAATTGAACAGGAAGTAAGAACGCTTCTACGGGTAAGATTCTCTCCCCTTCCACTCTGATACGGGAGTTGCGCATCAGTTTACTTGATTGTTCGGTTTGGTAATGTATACTGGTGAAAATACACAGGTGGAGGAAAGTATTCCCAAGTATTTAATGTAGCTGTAACTTTGAATCTCTGCGCATCAAACTTTTCTCATGATTGTCATGCACAAGCAGTGAGAAACAAGTTGGTGGTGTTGGGTTCTTTAACATGTTCAACGCTTCCTCTTATATTTGGTCAGGATTTCTGTTTTGCCTAATCAATTCACAGGAAAAAAAGTATGGCTATGAATTGGTTTAGAACAGATCTGAATGTTTCATGTTACTCCCACATTTCATAACCTGCATCTAAATCATTTTGTATAGAATCACAGGAATGACCATTTCTGGTCAGAGAGTTGCCTTTTCCACAGTCCCTCACAGTGATCAGTATCAAATGCTTAAGGAAACTTGTAACTACATTTGATAATCACAGAACTTCCAGATCACCTCTTCTCGTAATCTGAATTAGTTTGGTACAGGCAGGAGAATTATTTATATCCTAACAGTTAAATGAGTAACACTTTGGCTGTAGCTGTTTTTAAACTGACTTGGTCATGTAAGAACTATCTGTGTAGAACTAAAAGTCAAAGTTGAAGCTGGTAATGCTGGCAATGTGCATCTGCTTGCAGCAACTCGTAAGTTGCTGGATAGCTTTCAGCTTTTCTAAAAGTGTCATACTTCGAGAGTTTTATAAGCTTTTAAAAACTTTAGTCTTTGAGGAACATTCCTTGAATGCTGTAGCACTGCTCGTAATGAAAGATCAAATATACTTAATTTATTCAGCGAATTTTCAAATCTAGTAAGCCTTTTTTAAGTCATGTCTAAAAATACTAAGGTTTGTCTTAGGATTTTATTTTTAATTCTACTTCTGCAAAATGCAAAGGTGTCATAAAGAGAGGGTTTTTTTATTTATTATGCCAGCTAGATTTTAAATCTTCATGAGACACGATCTGCACTCACTATGAAATGTAAGGCACAACTTCAAATGTTTGTTTCAAGCTGTATTTACCTGGAAACAATTTTTGAAGTGGAATCTTGCTGTTGTTTTTGTTTTAAAATCTCTTTCCACCTTTTTTTAATACTAGGACTCGTATGAGCGAGCAAAGAACATCCTGAAGACTCATGCAAAAGAACACAAGAATTTAGCAGAAGCTTTATTGAAATACGAGACTTTGGATGCCAAAGAAATCCAAATCGTTCTAGAGGGAAAAAAGCTAGAAGTAAGATGATAACTTCTGGCGTACAGTAACTGATAATTTGAAGAATGTACATCTAGCAATGCAGTAGTCTTACGCAGCATAGCCTTTTTTTCCCTTCCTGATGTGTGTATGGCATTAGTGACACTTCAGTACTACTGTCTCTTGTGAGCTTCTGTTAATCATCTATTTGTCATGTCTCATCAGAATAAGACACAGAAAATAAAGCAAGTTCCTCATCCTCTGCTCCCTATACTTTTCCCACAAGAAGTTATTCAGAAGGATGAATCTCAGGGTTGAATTCAGCTTTTTGGTTCAGACAAACGTGTTGAAGCTGAGAAGAAAAACATGCAGATATTCTGGTGTGTTTTGGCAGAGCTTTCTGGGTCATGCTGCTACATGTGTGTTTGAAGGGATACCCCACAGTCTGTGCTGTGGGATGTTTTATGGATAGTGACAGATTGGTTTGTAAAACAATAGTATGTAGTCTCACTAATGCTCACGCTCTGTTTGAGGCCAGAGGTCACTTTTAAAAGAACACTTCCTATTTAGAAACGTCACAAAACGTCTCTAAGGATAAAGCGGCTGCACAGCGCATCTCTATTAAAGGGAGTTGTAGGAGCTCCGTGTTGGACAAAAACATTAGTGATTGTGTTTTCAGTGCTTTTGGGCTTAAAATACACACATGTATGGCTGGGAAAGAAATTTTAATGCAGAAACAACAGGCTAAGCTTGTCTAAGCCTCTTTGGACCGTGTTCTGGAAAGAACCGTGGCAGGGCTAAGAGAAATACCTGTGACCTCTGATGTGCTGCTGACAAGATTCTTAGAATTTTTATGACTGCAGCAGATGGATGGCAGTGCTTTGATGGCAGTGCTTTGATGGCAGTGCTTTGATGGCAGTGCTTTGATGGCAGTGCTTTGATGGCAGTGCTTTGATGGCAGTGCTTTTACACTGCTGGAGATTCTACAGAACTAGTTTCTACTAATATGGGCGTTTGATAATCCAACAAGTTCTTCAAAGAGGGCAATGTTGCCCACTAAAGAGGAGTTCAGAAAATGTTTGAAGCATGTGTTGTTTCAAGTAACATTCCCAGTTCTGTTCTACAGTAGAATTAGGGAAAAAAAAACCTTTTCTTTCAACCCTTAACACAAACCTCTGGAAATTCTAAGATAGAAGTTTTTGAAAACAAAAGCAGTTTCCAATCAAGTGGGAGTGATTTCTAGCAATTATATGCCAGTATTCTTCTGATCTCATGGAACTGTTTTTTAGGAATAACACAGCTTGATTATAATCTTTCTGCACAATTAATTGTAGACTCTTGGGACTATGAACTTCTGTTGCAGAGAGGGCCTTTATTAGTGTATTAACGTGGAAGGTTACCATACTTGGACATGAAAATAGTTGGGCTGGTGCCAATAATGTGAATGGAAATTGGTAGCTACACTTAAAACTAGAAATAACATAGTATTTTAGAATTTTCTGAGTGTAATGCTTGATGATAACCTAGGGTTTTTTTTAGTAAGAGCACATGCCTTTTTTTTTTTTTCTTTCAAAACCGGGGTAAGTTTCTATTTGCCTATTTTTGTCAGCTTACTATAGTGACATCCCAGTGCAGTGTGGGAGAACTTCCAAATGTTATAAAACAGTATACCAAATGTCTAGGCTGACTAGTTACAGTTGTACATGTATTTTAGAAATACGCCAACAGAAACAAAAATATACTGCATATTTGGCATCTGTTTTTGGAGTAATAAAGGTTAATTTTAATTATGCATATTGGTTTTCTTTTTATTCACTGTAAATTGTTATCAAATGTAATACCAAGTTCCCTACTATGTAAATTGAGGTGTATAAAACATTTAAACTTGTAAATAAATTTAAGAAATATGGCAAAATTGCACTTTCTCTAGTTAGATTTGTAGGGTATTCAGACATTTTTTTCAAGTGCTGCTTCAGTAGTGGGACTTGGATGGGAACTTTTCCAGCTAAGTAATGTGAATCTGCATTTAGAAACCAAAGCAAAAAATTTTTTACTTTTGAAGTTACTAAAATCTGTATTGAATGATCTGTTTTGGGGGTAAGCCCTTGAGGTCTAACTCATTTTTCTCATTCAAAAGCTTCTTGCTATATGCAAAGAAAAAGTGAGCACAGTTGGGGTGAGGGGGAAAGTATCATTGGGTCGTAAAAGAAGATTGTTAGATTATCCATCAAGAAAGAAAGGTGTCTTTCTTTCTGGCCAACTTAACAGCAGAGGTGTTACTGAAGAGTTTACTATCAGACCCTAGATGGTCGTGTGCATGTGGTATCTGGGGGGTTTCAAAGAAACTTGTCTGTTTACGCATTGGGTTTGACCTCTGGTGTTCTCGGGTGCATCCAGGAGCTGAAATTTCTTCTCACATAACCATTGGACAGAGGTAGGAGACCACAAAGGCAGCTTTCAAACATCAGTCAGGTGGTGAGAATAACCCGAGTTCCCTTTAAGTATGCAGCCTCGTGTTGTGGAAGACAGGGCAGAGCTAGGTGCTTTGGTGGACTGACCAGCCCTAAACTGGTCACAAGCATGGTGGCACATAAAATAAGAACCTCAAACTTGGGCATGATTCTGAATTTGCTGCATTCCAGAGGCTGACCTGTGCCAGAATTCTGCCATCAAGCTTAATACAAAGAAATTGCCAGCTCCTGGTGAAAGATGTGGCCTGTTTCTTCTGGCTGCTTCCTACTGTGTGATGACTCAAGTCAGCTGGAATATCACAACAGTGTCCTAAATCTGGATCCCTAAACGGGCTGTGAAAATACAGCAATCAAGCCATTGGTAGCTGTCTGCTCTCTCCATTTGCTTGGAAACCTTTCCTAGAAGCAAGAAGAACTATTTTTGCTTCTAAAACGTGGCCAAAGATCAGGGCAAGCTGTTAGAGCGACCACTTTAAGTAGGTCACTCACTCTACTTCCCTCACAAGTAGATTCGCATTCTCTTTTTTCCCCAAGAGTGTGACTCCTGTTCCTTCTGTCTGGCGTTTATTAAGATGCCTTCCTCTGGCGTTGGCCAATGTGAGTGCATCATCTGGTCCCTTGGAAGCTTCATCAGTGCAGAAATGGCTGTTATCATGTGCCATAATAAAAACAATAATATGGACATTGAAACATTTAATGGGAGAAGTGGAGACTCTGGTGCGTGGGGTTGGGGTTTTTCGGTTTTGGAGGTTTTTTTCCTTTTTTTTTTTTTTTGTTTGGTTGGGTTTTTTTCCCCCTAAATCTAGCTTTGTGGTTAGTGCCCTGTTCTGGAAATTTAATGCTGTTGGCTATAATACTGAGATTCAGTGATGTACCACATGGGCTGTAGTAGCACTGAGTTTTGACTTCCACCTCAGGAGCAGATTTCTTCTAAGATTGATACTAGTTTTCAGTCTTTGACTACTATTAATGAATTAATGTAAGTAAAGTAATGAATTAAATCGAGTTTTACTCAAGTTGAGTCTGTTTTGCCCATGACCATAATTGGTGAGTGATCCCTCCCTGTCGTCATCTTGAGCCTTGAGCCTTTTTTTATTTCTTCTCTCAATGCCACTGAGGGGGAGAAGTGAGCGAGTGGCTGCAAGGTGCTTAGTTGCTGGCCGGGGCTAAACCACAACAGAAATTTGGAGATAACAATTTGCAGGAAAGTTCAGGACACTATTTGCAAAGAATTTCATAAAAGAATCCTCAGGCTGTCACAGGTAGAGGGGTGAGTGGCAGGGTGATTCGTGGTTGATCTGGTTTAATCTCCATGAAGGAAAAAAGCCTGTTGCTCTAGGACCTAGGGATTAAAGTAGGTATGGAAAGGCACATCAGCTGAAGTGCACTTCTGGTTTTATGCACATTTAAGTACTCCTCCAAAAAACGGCTCCATGCTCAATTTCAGTTTGCATTTACAAAGGGATCTATGGAGTATCTTGATGACTGCAGTTGTTAACTCTTCAGAGCATCTCTCCAAAGGTTTTATTTTCATCCATTACTGTAGTATCTGAGCAACTAACATAATGTTCACAGATTCATAGCAAAGTTTCAGTTAAGCTCCATGTGGTCTCTGGCACTCCCCCTCCCCCCCACTCCCCCCACCCAAATTTGAAAGGCTGTGCACAGAATCAAAAGTTTTTTAGACGTTCGGAGGGTTGATTTTAATTTCCTCTTTTGTGGTAACTTGGTTAATAATGGCTTCTGGACAGAAAGTTGCTGGTGGTCTTTGACAAATGCTTTTGTTGCATTCCAGATTCAGCCAATATCGAGTAACTGGTTGCACAATTTCTTCTTGGCTGTCAGTGATTTATCTTGAGCTTTGTTACGTAGCTTTCAAGGTGACTCTAAAGGCTAATTAGGCACTGGAACAGGTTGCCCATAGAAGTTGTGGCTCC